GGAAAATGTTAGTTTGTGCTTTTGTATCATTTCAAGGGGTTTAAAAATTGAGATCCTTGAATCCTTTTTCTAGGATAATTTGCTCCCAGGATGGCTTAGAGGAAGTAAAATGAGTTTATCTTTTTGGAATTCATCCCAAAGAAAGTGTCTCATATTTATATTGGCCCCTTCCATTTCTCTAAGGAATTTCACATTTATTTTCATGTTGCATTTTTTAATTTTAAAAAATATTCTGTATGTTTTACAGATTTATAACCCCAGAAAATTTTTATTCCATAATTAGGAAGGGACAAATTTTTCATAATTATCTTTCAATTTCCCCTAACCTCTGTATGCTCAAATTATTTTTTTTATTTCATCTGAGGTTTTGTTTTGGTTTTTTTTTGATGGTTCCCAGTACCAAACTCAGGGCATCGTGTGTGCTAGACAAGAGCTCTACCACCGAGCTACATCCCCAGCCCTACCCTTTTCTTTTAAAATATCCAGTGCAGTGACTTTCAAACACTGTTGACCTTGATCTATATTATATGCCCATCATGATTTCATGGAAAAATATCTGTCATGTGAGGCAAAAGTTTCATGAAGCAATATTTATCATCATTCTGTAGTAGGTACTCTGATATATCCTGTTCTGTTCGATTTATCTTTTATCTTTGAATTCTCATATTGGCTCTTGCATTTTAAACTTAGTGGATCAATTCCATATGTGCTCCAAAATATAATGAAGCAAAAATGGTCAAAGGATATGGAAACAAACACACGCTCAAAGATGAAGTCGAGAACCAACCCCGTGCTGTGTGCCTGCACATGTGACCCACCCCCCGGGGGGGATTGGACCAGAAATTACATGTGCCCCCAAAGTCTCCCGGGTGCCCACAGGCAGGTTGTGCTGTCCCAGGGTTCCAGGCAGCGGAGCTCCGCTGCCTGGAACCCTGGGACAGCACTTCCTGAGTTCCCCACCCAGCACTTGATGGGGCTGGAGCAGCTGTGCATCCCAGAGAAGAGTCCAGTCTGCTCTGCTCCTGGCTCCCCCACCACCACCCTCATATCCTGGCACCCCAGCCTAGAGTCTCTCATGAAGTGCTAAGGCCAACAGGTTGATGGGGTCTCCACCCCCATCACTGCTTCTTCCTGAGCATTAGAAGGAAGAATCCCCAGTATCTTCTCCCCAGTGTGGTCAGTTCAATGGGCGTTGACCATGAATGAACTCCGAAGACTAAAAATACTCAACAGAACACAGGCTGTGAGTTGGGATGGGGAAAGTGCTTGAAGCTTAGAAATGATGTGTCTGCCTCAGAAAAAGCACCTTAAACTGAGGGATTTATCCCAGGCTTAGTACCATCTCATCTGGGATCTCACCTAGAACCCCTGAGTATTGGGAAATTACATATAATATATAAAAATTATAGATAGACCTGAAAAAAGCCAGTAGGTGACTTTTGTGTCTAGTAAGTATTAGGTATTCTTTCTTGAAGTCCTTGTGACCTGTCAATCATTTTCTACTGTGAGACTGTAATTGTTGAGCCTCCAGACAGCCGGGATCCTTGCAGTGAGGGATCTTGGCCCAGAGGCATGGGGACCAGTGAGAAAGCTACAGAAGATGGCCCAGGTATGGGCATCTGAACCAAGGTGGGGATGGGCAGGAGGGTCTCCTTTCCTGACTACCTAGGAACACTCCCTTATTCAGTACAGTGGGGTCCAGCCTTGATGCGAAGCGGTGAGGACACCAGGAACGTCCCTTGCCAGGGCTATGAAGAGAGGACAAGGTGTGCTCTGAAGAGGAATGGCAGGCAGCAATGTCCCCCTGAACAGCAAAGGGAAAGACGGTAGGCCCTGGCAGGGAAGGGAGTCTGTGACTGGGAGGAGAGCTCAGGTGCATTGGGGGTGAGGAGACACATCATACCTCTGCAGGTAAACACGTGCACTTTCAATCTGGCATACACTAGATCAGCAAGATCAAGGGTTCTGTCTTCACATAACTTAAAACTGTATTTGGAGGTCCCGTGCCATGCAGCTTACAGCAGGGTTTCCTGTTCAGGGTCTTCCACACCTGAAATCCAGGACTGGTCAGCCTGACTTTCCCTTCTCAGGGCAGGACTACTGCTTGTTGGATCCTCTGCCATGCTGACTCTGAGCAGAATATATAGCACTGTATTCAGTCCGGGTGAGGCAAGGGGAGGGTCTTTCTTACTTGCCTTGTGCTTAGGCCAGTTGTCCACTCCTTGCTCCTCAATCCTAAGTGTTTGAGGTACTTAAAGACCTAGCCTTCGAGATCTTTATCTCTACCAGAGTCTTTGAAGTTCACTTTAAAAGCAAAAAATTGAGCCTGGACAGGCTTCTTTGTCCCTGAATTTCTGCAGAAACAACCCAGCTCTGCAGACGCAGGACGTTAGCGTGGGGACCAGGGAAGCAACATAGACATGGATACTTTGGAGTGCTAGCCTGCCACTCCAGGATGTTTCCTGCCCTCTGCAGACCCCGCAGGCTGGGTGGTAGTGTTCTAATTTTGTAGATGAAGGAGTAGTCTGAACTGCACACTCCGCGGGCCAAGACAGAACGGGAACCCATTCAGCCGAGCTCCAGGACCTCGCTTTACCACTCAGCTGAACTGCTTTCTAGTGAAAAGCTACTGCTGGGGGTGAAAGCGTCCCACTTATGTGCAGAGTGGGATGAAGGTGTCTGGGTCCGTGGTCCTCCCTAGACACTGCCTCCCCTCCTTGTTGGGTGACGCTCCTCCTGGTCCTTTCAGCTCCCCAGTCAGCGTGTCCCTTTCCTGTATGTCACAGCCCTCTGTCAGATTCCCTTCTCCCTTGGTGCCTTTTGCTGCCGTGTAACTGGTTATCAGAAGGAAGTCCGACAGCTGCCATCAGGAGTGCCATGGTTATTAACTCATTAACTATTGTCCTTGGGGAACTGTATCACATGGGTACACAGGAGACTACGGGCCATTCCCCTTTAGTGGCTCTTTTATGGCTGTAAAATGTTTGCTGAGCTCATAATCTACATCCATTCTACCACCAACAGGTTCTAAAAATCTTTAAAAATGAGGAAAAGCACATCTCTGAGATTTTCAGATGGTCCTAGGTACTGAATTAATGGAGGGTCATGAGAGTAATGATGGCCACTGGCCAGCTAGGCCAAAGAGTACAAGTCACAGTGATGTGTGATGATTTGTGGTTGAAACATTTCCTAATGGTTAGTCAAGAAGCCCTGGATTCCACTTAGAACAGAACAAATGTAGAATTAGCCACAGAGAAATTCACAGGATGAAATGAACTAAAAGAAAACCATTGACCTTAGGCTTATTTCTGAAATTCTTATTTATGTTCTTTCACCACATTGTCAACTGAACAGATCAGTTGCTGCTGAATTTGCACCAACATAATATGACTATCCACAGGGATGGATTCAATATTGTCTAAATAACTGTGTACTTTTAAAAGTATTTTATTCACATCCCATCTTCCAGCTAGGGGGTAGTTCTCAGAGGGCAGAGGCTGGGACTTCCTGAATTCCACAGCTCTGAAGCTGAACCAGGTGCTGATGTTGATAAGGACAGAATATGTTAATCAGAGCCTATTAGTTGCAGGTAACAGAAACCTATCTCAGCAAGCCCAGCAACAAAGGAAGTGTGTTGGCTCACATAACCAGCAAGGTCAAAGATGTGGTGTTGATTTAGAAAGAGGTAAATCCAGTTTTCAAAGCACTCCACATCCTGCTGGCTGCTTCCCACATTCCCTCCTGGTGTCTCCTTCCCTGCAGCCTTCCCCTGTGTTTACCTACTTCTCAGGTTTCCACATGCTTACAATTAGGCTGACCAGCATCCAGCAATCCCAAAGAGAAGAGAATTTTTCTCTTTTTCCAGCATCTCTACCTGTTCCCCAAACTGACCCTCCCTCTTTGGATCTGCTTTAAGTCCATTAATGTGGCCAAGGACTCGGGACCAGGTCACTCATGACAAGTAGTATTCGAGACAGGCTATTTCCAGAAGAACAGCTGAAAGAATGATAAGTAACAGACATCTGGTGTGACATCAATTGACAAAAGAGGAAAGATATTTTTAAAAGATGTGTAAAGCACTGGAACTTTTGGGCATTACATTTATTGATAATAAAATCAGCTTATCAGAAGACATGAAAACAAAGCAACAGAATGTGACCAGTTCCCATGGGACATGAAGGCAGAGACTTAGAAAGTGCTATGAGGGCTGAGAGTCCCGAAGGTGCTGAAGGTCTGTGAGAGCCACTGGGCCAGGGTGGCCCAAGGAGGACAGTAAGAAGGGATGCAAGGTATCTCAGCCGGGGAGAAGGAAACCTAGCTACCATGACCAGGAATCTTTGCGGTAACCAAGATATGGGAAAGACTAAAGGCATCTCAGAAAGTCTAGAAGAAATAAGCATGCTGCCAAACCTTATAAGAAACTAATACACCATGTCGTCAATCCATGTTTTAAAGGGAGGTAGAATGTGAGTTGATTTACACTTACTCCTGTCTTGCTTTGAGTTGGCTTTGCCTATTCCAGTGAGGCTTAAATGGCTGGCATCCCTTACAGTTGCTGTTTAAAGTCTCAGGCAGGTAAATGCCCAGGTGGATAAAATGCAAATGAACCAAGTTAATTTATCAAGTAGCATGATGATAGCACTATATTGAAAAATTATCACGTAAGCACCTAATATTTCCCCTTTCTAAAATAAAAGAAGTAAGTATGCTGTTTGTTTGGCAATAGTATGTCATGGAATATATTTAGAAATGGGGAAAAGGCAAGGTTCAATAGATCGTACGAGCTAGTTGTACCACCTTGAACAAATCCATCTCCATTAGCCCTAGACTCTTCACCCTTAAAATCAGAGAATGAACTGGATAAGGTTCTGCTTCTTTGAGACCCTGCATCCTATTAACACATCTTTTGTGTCTTTTAATGCATGCAAAGGACATATCAAACGAAGGCAGAAACTTTCCTAACTGCATTTTTTTTTTCTCTCTCTCTCTCTCTTTCCCAGACTATGTCAGAGAGTCACAATGACCTTGCACAGTAACAGTACCACCTCGCCTTTGTTTCCAAACATCAGCGCTTCCTGGATACACAGTCCTTCAGATACAGGCCTGCCCCCAGGGACTGTCACTCATTTCGGCAGCTACAACATTTCACGAGCAGCTGGGAATTTCTCCTCTCCCGATGATACCACCAGTGATCCATTGGGAGGTCACACCATCTGGCAGGTGGTCTTCATTGCATTCTTAACAGGCTTCCTGGCCCTGGTCACCATCATCGGCAACATCCTGGTGATAGTGGCATTTAAGGTCAACAAGCAGCTGAAGACAGTCAACAACTACTTCCTCCTCAGCCTGGCCTGCGCCGACCTGATCATCGGGGTCATCTCGATGAATCTGTTTACTACCTACATCATCATGAATCGGTGGGCACTGGGGAACTTGGCCTGTGACCTCTGGCTCTCCATTGACTATGTGGCCAGCAATGCCTCCGTCATGAATCTCCTCGTCATTAGCTTTGACAGGTACTTCTCCATCACAAGGCCGCTCACCTACCGAGCCAAACGAACCACCAAAAGAGCCGGGGTGATGATCGGCCTGGCCTGGGTCATCTCCTTCGTCCTGTGGGCGCCTGCCATCTTGTTCTGGCAGTACTTCGTAGGGAAGAGAACGGTGCCTCCGGGGGAGTGTTTCATCCAGTTCCTCAGCGAGCCCACCATCACCTTCGGCACGGCGATCGCCGCCTTTTACATGCCTGTCACCATCATGACTATTTTGTACTGGAGGATCTATAAGGAAACCGAGAAACGTACCAAAGAGCTCGCTGGGCTGCAGGCCTCGGGGACAGAAGCAGAGGCGGAAAACTTTGTCCACCCCACAGGCAGTTCTCGAAGCTGCAGCAGCTACGAACTTCAGCAGCAGAGCTTGAAACGCTCGGCCAGGAGGAAGTATGGCGGCTGCCACTTCTGGTTCACCACCAAGAGCTGGAAGCCCAGCGCCGAGCAAATGGACCAAGACCACAGCAGCAGCGACAGCTGGAACAACAACGATGCTGCCGCCTCCCTGGAAAACTCGGCCTCCTCCGACGAGGAGGACATTGGCTCCGAGACCAGAGCCATCTACTCCATTGTGCTCAAGCTCCCAGGTCACAGCACCATCCTCAACTCCACCAAGCTACCCTCGTCAGACAACCTGCAGGTGCCTGAGGAGGAGCTGCGGGCACTGGACACCGAGAAGAATGCCAATAAGCTGCAGGCCCAGAGGAGCGTGGATGATGGTGGCAGCTTTCAGAGAAGCTTCTCCAAGCTTCCCATCCAGTTAGAGTCTGCTGTGGACACAGCCAAGTCCTCTGACGCCAACTCCTCGGTGGGTAAGAACACGGCCACTCTACCTCTGTCCTTCAAGGAAGCCACTCTGGCCAAGAGGTTTGCTCTGAAGACCAGAAGTCAGATCACGAAGCGGAAGAGGATGTCCCTCATCAAGGAGAAGAAGGCAGCCCAGACCCTCAGCGCCATCCTGCTGGCCTTCATCATCACCTGGACCCCCTACAACATCATGGTCCTGGTGAACACCTTTTGTGACAGCTGCATACCCAAAACCTATTGGAATCTGGGCTACTGGCTGTGCTACATCAACAGCACCGTGAACCCCGTGTGCTATGCCCTGTGCAACAAGACATTCAGAACCACCTTCAAGATGCTGCTGCTGTGCCAATGTGACAAAAGGAAGCGGCGCAAGCAACAGTACCAGCAAAGACAGTCGGTCATCTTCCACAAGCGCGTGCCCGAGCAGGCTCCGTAGATGAGGTTTTATCCATAGCAGAGACAAAAAACGCACACGTCGACCCACGACCTTAGGCGGAGTCAGGCGAGGGTGGGGGCGACTCCTGGTGATGATAAAAAGAGTTTTTATCAGCCAGATGTGAAAGAAGCTGCCTGTTTACTCACCCACTGAGTCAACCAATTTTAATATAAAGCATCAAATACCAATTCAGCAAAAAAAAAAAGGCATACTACTGAATATAAAGAAATTTATTCTGAAATAGACTTTACATGTATTTTTCTTAAAGAGGAAACAAATATTGCTTCAGAGCAGTTATACCCTCAAATTGTTTCACCTGGGTCTTTTAATTCCCATTAGCTCTGGAATCACAGAGGAGCCTAGCTGGCCCAGTTGCCACATTATCCCCAAGGATCCCAAGTTGATCCAGCTCCCTCGTGGAATGCAGCAGGCTAGTGAATCTGTGGTTGTGAAATTGTTTCATACATTGCAAAGCTGAACCTTCTTGTCCCGGTAGAGCTTCCGTCCTCTCTTTGGTGTGTTGTTAAACTCTAGTTGTGGACTTGATTCTTGATTCTTGCAAAGTACTGTTCTGTGCAGTTCAAGTTTCGTACAAATAAAAATGCATAAGTATATAAATATATGTATATATATATATATATTGTGTGTGTGAGTTCTGCATGCACACACATAGTGTATAGAACATAATGGAAAGACTGAACTGGCAAATTTGTTCTGCAATATATGCTTTCAGTACTTTGGTAACTGAAGTTCTCTAGGATCCTTATACACTATAAAAGTGAAACAACCCAGCTTAATTGTCTTTGACCCTGGGGCTGTTTTCCACAAACCACCCTGAAGAATATTCTGCAGAGACCCCAGGCCTCCTGGCAGGCCTGTGCACACCAGAGGACCTCGAGAGTCAGTTGGCACCAGGGCTGGGCCAGATTCTTGGGCTGCACACAGCCTCCTGTGCTGATATCTCCATCAAGAGAGCTAAGTGGGGGCCCCTCTGAGCTCAGAGAAAGAGCCACATCCACAGGCTCGAATTTAGTCATTGAAATCTGAATATTTCCAAACAAAGTCTCTGCTCTCTAAGCTGCCTGAAATGCAACAGTAGTGTCACATTTGAATGTCATACACAGCAATATTATCGGCAATAGATGCATTGTGAGGGGAGATGAAGGAGAACACTGTACTCCATTTCTTGCTACCTGGCACCTTCTAAGAGAAAGCAGGGCTCCCCGCTGTCACTTAGCTATGCTAGGGACTTTGGGTTTGCAATCTGTAACCATTGCCCAGGAAAAGGTGGGGTCTAGGAAGTTACATGTCCTCCGAAGAAAGAATGACATTTGAAAAAGTTGCTTCAAATTTATTTCCTTTCATTTTGAAAATCTAATTGTGCATTATCCTTGGATCCCCCCCCCCCAATGCTCAGCGTCCCCAGGGGGAGGGGTGGGTGCCGATGCTCTGGCTGTCCTGTCGCTGCTGTATCATTGGGGTTCCTTCTTTTCTTTTTGCTGGGGCTGTGGGGGGCGGGAGGGCTGCCAAGAACCCTTTCCTTTGTAGGGGGGCATCCATGTCACGGACCCAAAGCTGGGCAGAAGCTGCTTTCATATTCAGTGTGAGGTGGTGTTTACAGACGACTTTGACAACAGTGAAAAGTGTCCTCAGTGGCGTGTGTGTATCTCAACTATTTAATGTCGTGTTCTGTTTATATGAAGAACTATTTATGCATATTTCACCAAGTGTTTATTTAATGTCGATAAATATGACTTCTGCAGCCATGGTGTCCTTTGAAAGTGATTTTTTTAAGGTCCACTTGAGCAATGAATAAAGTCTATTGAGCTTTTATGTGGCTATGAAGAAAAAAAAATGTCATCCTGTTGGCATCCACAAGTTCCTAAATCTTTCTAGGTAATAAGACGTCAACTGTCACTTGAACAAAAATGTTGAAAACCACTTGTTAGTTACACCTAATGGGAACAAAACAAAGCAACCCCCCATCATGGTGTTTGAAATTATATTACAAGGGAAAAAAGCAAATCAGCATAATTGTAAGAATTGATTCTTTTTTCTTTTTCTTTTTTTTCTTTTTCTTTTTTTTTCTTTCTTTTTTTTTTCTTTTTGGCCCACATTCAACCAAAGAACAAGAGAAACTAGAGACTATTTTCTAACGTGTATAGCAAATAACAGAATGTTATGTTATCCACCTGTGAAAACGTCTAGTAAGCAATTGTGTCTATATTTTATTACTCAAGTTGGCCTGGCACTAATAAACATGTGAATGCTTATTCATGTCTCCAAGTACGTCAGTAATCCCGGTCCTTGTGAAAACTTCCATCCCGACTCCCTCCCCAAAGGGCTGCTCCTGGTGTTTAAAAAGAAAATACCAATCAAAATTAAGTTTCAGAGGCAAAGGAACTCTGAGCTTGGGCAGAACATCAAAAGTTAATTAGGATTTTCTTCAGATATGATCATCTCCTGATTCTTGTCCTTTTATGATGCTGACAATGACAGAAAAGAAGCAAACACAAGACTCCAGATCCCCCTTTTTAGTGCTGATTTTATTATAGAAGTGTTTTTAAGCCTCTTATGCATGAGAGCTTCTCCTGACCACCGCACACTTACTGTTTAGAGAGAGGTCCAACTTTGGGGTCATTTTCAGAGTAGGAAAACAAGCAAAAGAGACTCTTTTGGATATGAAGAGTTGAGAAGCTTAACTGAAGATGTTGTAAGTATTTTAACTGGTCATTTGTCACACAGTCCTTTCCCAAAGTGCTCGTCATTAGAAGAGGCATTCTGCATTTATAGATGATCAAATGTCTTTATCCCCAGACTTGGAATTGAATCGTTTCATCCCCTGTGAATGAGGTTTGCAGGGATTTTAGGATTACCACTTTAACTGAGACAGGAAAATGCTCAAACCTAAAATAAACACATGGAGGCACAAGCAGCCCCCCACCCCCACCCCACACCCATATTCTTGTTCTCTCTCTGTCTCTCTCTCCTCCAGGCCTTGCCTTATGGACAGGAGCAGTGAGCTCTCTGCTCCCTGCCTCCTGCCCTCTTGCCTATCTTTGGCTCTGTGGTCTTTGTGCTCCTTTTCCCTACTATTCTGATCACCCCTCACCTCTCGAGCCCAGCCTCGACTCTCTACATAGGTTGCATTTCTAGTCCCTCCTTAATGTACAATAGTTCCAGACTCAAACAGAGAAAAAAAAACAAGAAAGCAGGAGTGTGGGCATCGCAGTGCTGAAGGCCCAGAAGGACCTCAGTGACCTCTGTCAAACTTCCTGTGCTAGAGGCAGCCGGTGGTTTCCCTACAGAGGGGAGCAAGCTCTGCAGCAGAGTTGGTCACCTCCACAGGCCTCTGGGAGAGAAGAGGATGCCAAGGCTCTGGCCCACAGTGAAGCCTGATGCAGAGGAGGAGCCCAGGGTCATACAGGTTATCTTGGACTTAATCTGAGTAGAGTTGATTCAAAGATGCAAACATAGTTCTGAGGAGTTGAACAGTCCAGGACTGTCAACTTCCAAGGAGGAGTGAGGGTGAGGCAGAATAGTCACAGAAGCACTGAATTGAAGATGGTCAAGTTCTTGTTCTGGTCCTGTCACCATGCAGTTACTTATCCTCAGGCATGCCTTTCATTTCACCCAGGGTCTCTAGGTTCTCTGCCCATGCTCACTGAAGCCACATGGACAGCAAATAGGTCAAAACTAGGAAGAATGTGAGGTCAAGAACTGCTAGGATGACTGTAAAATGGAATAAATGGTGAACACTTGAAATTTTCAGATTTTGTACATCCACAAAATTATTAACTTAGTTATTTTGACACACAAAAAAATATAAAGGACTCTTGAAATTTATTGGTAAACCTGGAATTCCATCATTTCAAATACTACTCTAAATCGGTACCATCACTTGAGTCCTGAGACCCTCACAAAGAGTTGCTGGGTAGCAGAAGCTCATTGTGGTTTTGTGACAGCATTTCATAAAAGTACTGAAGCTTCAAAACAGGTATCCTGAAAAAGAAAAAAAAAATCTTTAAAGTTACCTTTTCTTTATCCTGTACTTCTGCCCCAAAGAAGTGTCTTCTCCAATGTAGTTTGCAATAAACTTTTCTAAACAGGGTTAATCTCAGCCCATACTAGGTTCAGGGACAGCTTTATAGTGAGTCAGGTCACACGCTGTCTTCTTCTGTCTGTGATTCTGAATATTCAGCTCTAGGAAAACTAATGCTGAATGAGGAAATAGCCCACACCTCGGAGCCAGCTTCCCAGGATGGTCACACATAGAGAATTCCATTTGCTTTTTCTAGCTTTGAGAAGGGAGGCTCATGTTGGGATAAAAAGATGGAAAGACCAAGTTCATAAAACGACTAGGCTCAGCCAAGGTTTGCAGCAGCACAATTTTTTGTTGACAAGTTTCCCAATGAGCAAATGTTAGCACTGCTAGTTGGATATGCATCAGAGTTCACAGCTCCAACACTTGAGTAAGTGGAAGTAGACTTCTAAGAACTTTATTATGGCCTCAGTCCTGCTGTTCTAATAGAACCTCAAAGACTCAGCCCAGAGTTCTCACGCTACCACTCTGGCCTGGCCTGGGACCACCCAGAATCACCCAGAGATCCAAAGAGGCTCACATCTCAGTTGCACAAAACTTTCTCAGTAGGTTAATGCAAAAGGTGGCCATACTCTCAATTACAAAGAAGTATTAGTAAAACTTTCCTCACCCAAATTAGAATACAGTAACCCCATCTTAAACTAAAGAGATTATCTCCAGAGTATAAAACTGTGGTGGTGTTCTTTCTTGAAGCCCAACATACTTGGCAGTTTTTCAGTTCACATACCGAACCCCAAACTCTTTTTTCTCCTGAATTCTGTGAATTCCTCAAAAATGGAAAACGGATCTTATCCATCTCTGAGCCCTATGACCAGCACCGTTATCTGGTAAACAGCAGACATTCAGCAGGTGTTGTTGAATGTTTAATAACCTCCTTATTAATTGATATACCAAATATTTGTTAAACAAATATTTATGCACGTCATTGCCCCATGCTGCTGGTATAGTCAGGATTCATCTAGCTGGGAAGGAAAAGTGGCTCATAAATATCATAGTTAATGAAATATCACTGAGCACTAAGAAGAAATATTCTAAACACATTTAAGTAGTGAATAAATCATTTAGAGTCCAAAAGAAGAAGAGTGAGCTCTCTTTTATCCCTAGAACTCCAAAACTTTTTAGCAGATTGGTCAAACGAGAAGCTCCCCTTGCTGCATGTCCTAGTAAGTGCATAGAATGTTCCTGAAAGCCTCCTGGCACAAGTTGGTGTGCAACAGGGCTGAGAGTCTATAAAGATGTTTTCTGTTGGTACAAGTGAAGATTCATAGTTTAGCCTAAACATCCTTGTGGGTCATCTTTTTGGCTTGGAAAGTTATTAGGAGAAGACCTTTTGTCCTGCTCTGCAAGCGATGAAACACCTCCTCACCAGGACCTGGCAGTTCAGCCTTCTGCAGGCAGCAGCTGAGACATCCATGGGGCTTCTGCTCAGGACTAGGTGGAGGACCCATGTGAGCAAGGTCCTTGTTTCTTTCACAAGCACCAACTGTCACCAGGTATGGCGCAGAAGAAGGGATATTTTCAAGTTGGTGAATCAGCACATCGATATGTGCCAGGAGGCTTTCAGGAATATTCTATGAACCATTCAGAGATGTTGTCACATGTCTAGTTTAGGAGGGTGGAGAGAAGCCACCATACAAAAGAGATGGGTATACACTTGCTCTGTCGGCAAAGGGTGTGTGTCCCTTTCACATCTAAAGCAGTGCCCACATCTTTGCCATAGACACTAACTTTTACCTCTACTCCCTGGAGCCAGCACTTCCTCAGCAGGCCGGGGTCACAAGTCTTGGGATGAGTCTCTTCTGCAGACAAGGCACTATAAATGTTACCCCTTTAGCTTTATGGTGAATATCATCCCCAAGCTTCACAGTAAAATAAGTAAAAAGAAATTATTATGTAAGTATATGGTCTGCTGTCATTTTAAGCCAAGACCTATTAACATTTTATTGCACAAAAGGGGAGAGCATGCTGAAGGGGCCATTCTAGACAGGTTGCGACCACCCTTGATTTCCCTTTCTTTTCTACAGATCATGGAACTTTCTTCAGCACTGTCGTTGCGCATTCTGGCCCTGATCACTGCCTGATCCTATACTCAGGCGGTGCCACAGCTTGTGCAAACTGCATCTTGACACAGTCCTTCTTTTTGGACACATTCAATTTTTTTAAGATGGCGCACTTGGCTACTTTAGGAGTCTGGCTATGTCACAGCCTGCCCCACAAGCCTCCATGGAGTGAAAACCTCCTGACTTCGTCTTGGAAGGAAAGAGCAAGAATAAGTGCCCCCCCACCCCGCGCCAACACACACACATCCCTTTCTCTCTCTGCAGCACAACTTTCTTTGCCTGTCCTTAAAGCCCCAAGCTCAGTTGACAGTTTGGACCTGTACTCACTAGAATGTGAGGGAACACCCCCAGCTTTGCCTTCTTGTCTGAATATAATCACCATCTAGATCAATGCAGGTGCTGGAAAAGGAAGTGCACTTCTCCCCACCCTGGGATGGCAGGGGTTTTTACGTGAAGCTGATACTGAGATTCAAGAAAAAAGTCTTGTGCTGTCTTTACTCTTCCTTACGTGGCTACATTGAATATAAGATGTAGCCATGACAGTAGCTGGCAACATGGAAGACAAAGCCTGAGAGTATGTCAATGTTCAAAAATCAGTTAAGAATGAGTTGATTTTTTTTTTAACTGAAAGGTGCATTTGTGAGAGGTGATATAGGTAGTTTTGGGGGAGGTTACTACTTCCTTTATCCAAATGGTTACATGGGGGAGGAATTTTGTAAAATATGACCCATCAATTTAAATATTTCCCACAATTATTTACCTTTTTGTCTGACTGAACTGGAACATTCCACCCTTGAAACAGAAATATATATATATATATTTCTAATGACTATACATAATATGTATTGTATACATTCCCAATGATAATAGTGTTTTAAAATCTATCCAACATATAGACCAATTAAGAATTAACATTACTTAAGCAATGAGCATCTGTGATTTTTATTAAAATTACATATCACAAAAATAGGATTTGGGGGAGTATATATATACTGCTTTTTTGAAAAGACGTCGTTTTGTCCAGAGTATGTACAAAGTTCTGCAGGCAATGAGCCAGCCACAGTTGGAGGAAAAGTTTCTGGTCTGGTCACAGTCATTTCTGGGCATCTCT